TTTATTTTTATTTTATCACTGATTTCTAAATTCATTCCATTGTGGTCTGATAGAATGCAAGGTAGTATCTCTACTTTTCTATATTTACTAAGATTTGCTTTGCAGCATATTATATGGTCTATTTTAGAGAAAGATCCATGTGCTGCTGAGAAGAAAGTGTATTTGCCCATTGATGGATAATATACTCTATATATGTCAGTTAAGTCTAAGTTATTGGTTGTATTATTGAGTTCTATAGTTTCTTTGTTTAGCTTTTGTTTGGTAGATCTATCTATTGATGAAAGAGGTGTGTTAAAGTCATCCAGAATTATTGTGTTTTGATCTATTTGACTCTTGAACTTGAGAAGACTGATGAACGTAGATGTTCCATTATTTGGGGCATATATATTTATAACTGTTATGTATTGTTGATGTATGGTTCTGTTAAGCAGTATGAAATGTCTACCTTTATCCCTTTTGACTAACTTTGGCTTGAAGTCTACTTTATTTGATATGAGGATGGAAACCTCTGCTTGCTTACATAGCCATGTGAATGGTATATTTTGTCCCAACCTTTTACCTTCAGTATGTGGACATCTTTTCCTATGGAGATGAGTCTCTTGGAGGCAGCATATTGTTGGATCTTTTTTATTTTTAATCCAATCTAACATCCTGTGTCTTTTGATTGGTGAGTTTAAGCCATTAATATTTAGGGTTATTATTGAGATATGATTTGTATTACCAGTCATTTTTATTTTTTTTTTTTGATATTTAGCTTGCCTTGGTTTCTCCTTTAGTTGACTCTTCTTTTATTGTAGGTCTTCCCTTTGTAGATTTTCATTTCCTCCTTGAGGAATATTTTGCTAAGGATGTTCTATAGTGCAAGCTTTCTTGCTATAAACTTTTTTAGCTTTTGTTTATCACGGAAAGTTTTTATTTAATTGTCAAATTTGAAGCCTAATTTTGCTGAATATAAGCTTCTTGGTTGGCATCCATTATCTTTTAGAGCTTGGTATATGTTGTTCCAGGATCACCTGGCTTTGAGAGTCAGGGTTGAAAAATCTGGTGAGATCCAAATTGGTCTTCCCTTATAAGTAACCTGATTTTTCTCTCTTGCAGCCTTTAAAATTCTATCCTTATTCGGTATGCTTGGCATTTTCATTATATTAAATTATATTTCAAAATATAATTTTCATTATATTACATTTCATTATAATGTGTCTTGGTAGATCTATTATAATTTTGTACATTTGGTGTTCTATAGGCTCTGGTATTTGGTTTTCCAATTCATCATGCTTGGGAAGTTTTCTGATATTATTTCATTGAAGAGATTGTGCATTCCTTTGGTTTGAATCTCTGAAACTTCCTCTATTCCAATAAATCTTAAATTTGGTCTTTTGATGGTATCCCACAATTCTTGGATGTTCTGTTCATGATTTCTTGCCATCTTCACTGTGAGGTCAACTATGATTGTATATTTTTGTCTTCATTGTCTGAGGTTCTGTCTTCCAAGTGGTCTAATCTGTTGGTGATGCTATCTATTGAATTTTTTAATTGGCTTATTGTTTCTTTCATTTAGAGGATTTCTGTTTGGTTTCTTTTCCGTGTCTCTATCTCTTTCTGGAAGTAATCTCTTGCAACCTGTATTTTCTCTCTTATTTCTTTGTTGTTGCAATTGATTTTTGCCTGTATCTGCTCATTTAGGTCATTCTTTAATTCCCAAATCTTTTTAATTATGTATATTCTGAACTCCTTCTCTGACATTTCACCTACTTCACTATCTCTGGATTCTATTGTTGTAGTGTGTTGGTTTGTTTGAGGCACTTTCCTCCCTTGTTTTTTCACAATGTCAATGTGTCTTCCTCTCTTGTAGTGTAGATCTGAGGTATTACAGCTTCTGCCCTTGTCTTATAAAGTGCCTACAGGTTACTAAGACCTCTCTTTTAAGGGAGAGATCAATATTATAGCACTCAATGTACCCAGTGTGCAGCCATGTATCAGTTAGCTTCCATTTCTACATTTACACTACATTTTTTTTTTTTACTATAAACAGAAATGATGAGTTCGGTTATCTTCAATCATATAATCAATAGGTTTGTGTAATGATTAACAGTTTCTGATGGTCAAAGGTGGACTGGGCTTTTGGCTGAGATGTTTATGAGGTAGAATATGAGAATATAGAAGTATTAGATTATATGACTAGTGAGAGGGATAATTATAGGAAGTTGGCTGTTAGTAGGAGAAACAAGAGATAGGCAACCCTATGCAAGACTCCCTGTTATCTCAGCAACAGGATAACCATTAGCACCTCTACTAGATAAACCTCTGGTAAAGCCAGAACACAGGGACCTTGGTGACGTCTTACTAGGTCCTTATTGTTGTCTCTTGATAGAAGCGGCAATATCCCAGTTTCATGGCAGTGGCGGCCTCAAGCCTGTATGTTTCCTGATGTTGGGCTGTGGAGCCATGCTTTGGTGAATAAGGAACTCCAGTGTGGGGTGGTTCTCAGTGTGGAACTCTGGGCCACAGTGGCATGGGATGGGCTGGTGGGCTGAGGGGATTTTTAAGGGGAATATGACCTTCCAAAAGGATGTGACTAGTTGGCCTTTGGGTTTTTCTAGCTTAAACATTGCATGGAAAAGCTTGGAAAATATCCAGCATTCATGTAATTTTAAACTTTTCTTAGATTGCAGACCACGATGGAATTTGGTGGCATGGCATGGCCACTAGTCATTGTGTATGGCTGATGTTAATTGCCATGGGCAATGATTTAAAAGAAGTTTGGATTGCAGAACATCTTATTTTGTTGGTGACATGTTTGTGGCAATATATACCAACATTGTTCTGGTAGATGACCAGCAAGTTATGGAAGGAAAAGATTGTGGTAAGAACAATTTAAATATTTCTTAATATCAGGTATCAAACTTATAGGAAAGTATGAAATCCTATAGTGAATAAAACATTCTTGCTACCTCTCCACTTATTTCATGATATTAAAATGAAAAGTATAACAAGTATTCCATCCTCGAACTTATCTGAATGTTCACTGTATATTTTGACTAGTCTTGGAGAAATGAGTTTTCTATAAGGTAAAATCAAACCAAAGGTTGCCATGTTTTTTCTACACTTACTGTTTGACCATTTTATGTGTACAAGTGCTCTTTTCAGACTGTCTCTCCACAGTAAGTCCTACCCTTCCTACGAGTCTCTTGGGTAAGGGGTCACCTCTTTGAAGTGATCCCTGGCTTTCCCTCCCACCTCTCCCCAGGACTAGGTACACAGGAGGGCCTGTGCTTCCTTCTGTCAAAGCACCCACTGCATTGCTATGACAGGTCCATGTACACTCTGCAGGACATGCTCCTGTTACCTCATTCCTGACTTACTCTGCATGTGTAACATGTGCCTGTGTACACATCTATGAAAAAAGCCGGTTGCTCCTTTTAGCCCTCATTGCTATAACGATTAGTGGAGTGACTCATTAACTGGTTATACAATTGTGACCATCAGAAGATTTTAATATACTGATTAAAATTTAATATACTGATTACACAGCAAATGTAATGAGTAACAGAGGACAATGCCCCAAAGTGATGACAAAACAGACAGGAAATCACATAACTCTTTCCTGACTCCACCTCTAACCTGTCCCCTATCTACTGTCCCCATATAAACACTAAAATGCCAAACCAAGGGGTGACTGTGTCTCCCTCTGAAGAGGGCCTGCATTCTTCCTGGAATGTACATGTCTTGCTTCACCCCAAAAGGTGTCTCATTTTTGAGACAGCCAGATTTCTCCCTGGAATTTGTATCTGCTTCCCTAAATAAATCCTAAATGAATCTGTGCCTCTACCCACAAGTTCTCAAACTAATTTCTTTGATGTTTGTCTTGAGTTCATGTGCCCCACCCTCAGGGAATTCCCTTGGACCCTTTCCAGTGTCACAGCCTCCAACAATCCTAAAACTAAGAATGCTATACTATCTATAGCCTATATAAGAGATTTTCCCAGTTGGGAAGAGGGTGCCTACATAATACTAATGTAATTTATAAATATATTGATTTATAACTTTCTTTCTCCTGTGACTATTAAAGTTCATGTAATCTTTTTCACAGTGAAGCATATCATTTGGGTAACTTAAATCTGTTCCTAGGCCATGGTCACTGGTATTTAGCTCAGAATAAACTATTTCTATGTCATTTAAAGCAGACTTGTAATTTTTCATCACAGGGTTTAGGCAGGTTCAAGTTAGAATGTTTGTCTCTTTCCAAGGCAGAATCAGAATCATTGGAATTGGAGGGCCTTGAAGAAAAGTACTTGCCCTCAAAACACCTGTTAAAAAACAGACTATTATTTTTCTCTCACATGTTTGTGATTATGTCAAGGTGTATCTTGATGTTGTATCATAACCAAAATAATTTTTTAATTTATTTTTTATTTGTATTTGGACACAATACCTTTATTTATTTATTTTTACTTTTTTATACCTTTATTTATTTATTTATTTTTACGTGGTGCTGAAGATTGAACCCAGGGCCTCTCACGTGCTAGGCAAGCGGTCTACTGCTGAGCCACAATCCCAGGCCCTAAATTTTTTTTTTTTTAAACTGTCTAAAAATACAATGAATCAAAGATGGTAATCCAAGATTTTTGGCACTACCATGAATAGAACGTAAGTTATGTAAGATTATCTTGATTGTAACAATAGAATGAATGATATTTCTGAAATAAAAGTCAAGAAAAAATGTGGAGAATTAAAATTAAAAAAAACAAAAACAAAACCCAAACTCTTTCTTATTATCCACAAATCCTGTTGACTACTATACCAGCAGTAATATCACTAATTAAGGCATTTGGGACTTTTGTCTTTATTGAACCTTCATCACAAGCAAGCCGAACAGCATCAATGGTAGTGGCCAGTTTGAGGGTAGCATCTAACACCTCAGCTCTCTGTGACCCTGGGGCAAGCCAGGGCCGCTCCTCTTTCCTGCCTGTTCTCTGGGTGGAGCCAGGAGATAAAAGCAAAAAGTCATTTAGGGCTCAGGTTCTTTAGAGTTGAAGCATTGCTTGGGGCCAGGGCAGTCTTCTGCTAGCAGAACTACACTGAAAGGCAATGAGCTGGAGTTTGCTGCTGGCACTGTGTGCACTGCTCCTGCTTCTTTTGAAGCTGCTGTGCTTCCTGTGTGTTGATGGTGACCTGACTCTGATGTGGTCAGAGTGGCTGGGGCGACGACCAGGTGAGGACCTTCCAAGGCCACCAACCCCGAGACTGGGCTAGTGAGCAGTGGAAGTCCATCCAGGTCTCCACTGGCTCCATATTCTTTCTGGGTGACTTCTGATTGCATGGAGCCTCTGAGTCTCAGGGTGGTTCCTTTCCCAGGAAACGTGGCGAGGGAAGTAATAAGCAAGGGTAAGGAGGCAATCCACTCTTTGGTCCTCTCTCCTGGTCCAAGAAGTCAATGATTTGCTTCCAGCCTAAGAAACCTCTCCAGGGTTGCCAAACTACAGAATACTGGAATTGGAGGATGCCCTCAGGACTCTTATTTCTCAGCTAGGATCCCAGGGATTCCAGTGCAGTGTCAGGGGAGGATACTTTCAGAAACAAGGAGCATCCCCCATCATTGTAAGAACATCAGTCTCTTAGTAAAGAGTCTCTGTGTGTCTTCCTCAAGTCATTTATCCTCGATTTCTCACTGTTCTGTAGTTTTAGAATCAAATTTGAGGTAATGAAGTCTTCCACCTGCCTACTCAACCAGGAAAGAAGTGTAACACTACAAAGAGCTGAATTGGCATTGTGCCTGGGGAGAGAGAATTTTTGGCACACTAAGGGGCATTCTGCCTACCTTTCTTTTGTCTCTTCCTTGCTTCCTATTTGATGATTCTCTAATTGTGTGTGTGTGTGTGTGTGTATTCATGAACACAGTGTGTACTAGATAGGCAGTGTGCTCAGCACTTTACAGGCATAACGTTTGACTTCACAAAACTGGCACAAAGTAGGCGTTACTCTTGTTTTCTACATAGAATAATTGATGTTCAGACAAATGAAACGATCTGCCCAAAGCTGGAGTTTCCCTGGACCAAGTTTCCTGTATGTAAATACCTGAAGCATGAGGTGAAGTTGGCTTGGAAGTAAAATAGTAGGTCAGAAGATAGACTTGGAAGTGAAATAGCAGAGGATATACTTGGAAGTATATCAGAGGAAATAAAATAGTAAGTCAGAAGAAGATGTTTTCTGAAAGGCTTAGGTGTGGAGGTAAAAATTGGTTCTTGGGCACTGGAAAAAATTCTGACGGTACAGTGTTTTGTGCCTCTCCAAAGCTCAACCCTATCGGATGAAATCTTATTTTGTGATATTTAATTTCTCTAGTTTGATTTTCTTGAGTAAATGCATAGGGCGCTACTGTGGCTGGTCTGACTACGGCTATGTTGGTGTTCTCTCCGTGAGTTGTTTGTTTTATGGCCTAGGAAAGGGCTACACCTCCAGTCCATCTTTGTTTTTATTTGTAGTTGGACACAATACCTTTATTTATTTAGGGAATCAGAAATTCCCATACAATGCAGTTTTATTAGCTGTAGGACTTTATCTTGATTTATGGCTTCATTTCAACAGGTGGAATATTCCTGCCCATTTATTGTCATTAACTGCCTTGTGGATGCTTGTGTTTGGTCTTTAATGTTTTGTGTTCATTTGGACTTGGAGAAAGAAATAAAATTCGTTTCTTTTTTATTACATAATTTTACAAGTCATTTAATTCATCAAACTATGTCTGAAAAGTTAAAATGTTGACAGTATCTGAATGAATACCCAGAAGCTAACATATTAAGTAAAAGTTAAAAGTTAAGGTCTCTAATACTAACGTTTAAGAAATTCAATTGTGGGCTGAGGATGTGGCTCAAGCGGTAGCGCAATCGCCTGGCATGTGTGCAGCCAGGGTTCGATCCTCAGCACCACATACAAACAAAGATGTTGTGTCCAACGAAAAACTAAAAAAAAAAAAGTAAATAAATATTTTAAAAAATTCAACTGTTTTACTCTTCCTTGAAAAAAGGTTTTAAAAGATTTTATTTAAATATTTATTTTTCAGCAGACAACAACATCTTTGTTTGTATGTGGTGCTGAGGATTGAACCCGGGCCGCACGCATGCCCCAAGGATTTTAAATATAATTACAATTATGTAGTTGTATGTTACAAATTTACATATTAATAATGTTACCACTTAATAAAAGGATTTTGAACAGAAATAGTTAAAGTCCTAATAGTTTTAAAATTTTAATTTAAAAGTTTAACCATTCTTATTCTGCATTGACAAAAAGTAAGCTTATATGACTTCTTTTTTTAGTGCTCCTTTAATGTATAGAGTAAATGCAAAAATACATGCAGTATATAAAAATATTGAATATTCATGAAATTATGATGTTATTAGGGGACACTAGAGGGGAAAGATATCTAAGAAGATTCTGGTGGGGTGGAAGAATAAAGAAAAAAATTTTTTTAAATATCGAAATCAACTCAGATACTCCAAAGAGCTAAGGCCATAAAGATGAAGAGATCTCCTTGGCTATTCTGTAGATAAATTTTTTTCATCTTAAAAATTAGACATCACACTCATCTAATATAAAACTTAAAACTACGAAAGGGTATCTAAAAATAAGTAAACTTTGATCTACTCTTGTGCCCCATCCTTCCAATATGCTTCTCTGGAGGCGACCAATATTTTCTGCCTCTTTTGTGTCCTTCTAGAGAATTCGTGGCATTTCCAAGCATGCGAAAGTTAAAAGTAAAATTTTAAGGCAACAACATGGATACTGTTTGATCCAGGAAACTTTACAGCACAAATCCAGCGCATGAAAAGGGACAACAGCAGCACATGCAAACAGAACTCAGGTTTTAGCTGAGAGAAAACTTCAGTGTGAGTCAGCTGTGAAGTGGCTTTCAGCAAAGCTGAGGTGGGTCTGGGCTACATCTGCAGACATTTAGTGTCTAAAGAAACAACTGCCAATGATGCCTCTGTGGTGGGCACTGGGGATGCAGCAGGGACCTGACATAATCTGGTCATAGATGGAACCTTCTGCAGGACAAGGGAAGTAATGGAGTCAGCTCATCCTGCTCTGCATTGCCCCGACCCCACTGGAATCCTGCATCCTTCTCTGGCCAGCTCCCTTCAACAGGAGCATTGAACAAGCAATGGGAGCTTGTGCAGGGGGTTTGAGCAGAGCTCAGGACCTGATGCTCAGGACACATGAGGAAAGCAGCAGAAGTTGAATATGTTTATTTAGAGAAGCCAGAGATGGGAGCACTTAGGGAGGACAGAACAGCTGTCTTCAAGCACATGAGGATGGCCATGTGGAAGAGGCTTGGTTTACTCTTTCTGGTACCAGAAGGCAGGTCTGCTGCCCACTGCTGCCAGTGGGTAGAAGTTAAAGCTGTATCCCGTCAGTGGAAGAAAGAGCCCTTGAATGATTAGACTTGTGTGAAAGTCCCAGATGACGAGCTTCCACAGCCTGTAAGGGAAGGAAGTGGAGACTAGTCAATGGTTTGAGGAGAGAATTGTCAAACTGGGTTTAGCATTGATCATAAGTTTCTAAGAATCTACTTTCAGGAGCTCTTTATGGGGTGGTTGGGGGGTCTTCATATATGCCAGATTCTGTGAAATGTAAATGAAAGTTGGTGCTAAACAAAAAAAGTCTTCTTCAGGGTGGGAGGGTGATGTCAGACCTGAGTGTATTGAGGTGAATTTGAGCCTGGACACTTTGAATATTGGCTTTATGCAATAGTTGCTTTCGTGTGTAAAGATGAAGAAATCTTTTTTAGCTCTAAGTCAGTTAGTAAACAATTCCAAAGAAACTATATTCCCCTTAGAGTCTGAGTATTGAAAATACTTGGAAAAATGAATAGTCAATAGCTAATAAAGGTTTGTCTGAATACACACCTATCATTCCTGTGAAGTCTTTCTGGCTCAGTTGAGCCTTTCCGCAAATGTACATCACCTAAAAGGAGAGATTTGTAGCCCAGACACAATGCTAGGGCTATTTCCACTCTAGGCTTAGATGTTTAAAGAAGACTCTTTTCCTAAAGACATGTATTTTTGGAATGTTTAAGAAACACATTGTTTTTATCCAAGTATGGTGGCACACAACTGTAATCCCAGTGGCTCAGGAGGCTGAGGCAGGAGGATGGTGAGTTCAAAGCCAGCCCCAGCAAAGGTGAGGTGCTCAGTGAGACCTTGTGTCCAAATAAATTACAAAATAGGGCTGGGGATATTGCTCAGTGGTCAAGTGCCCCTGAGTTCAATTCCTGATACCCAAAAGAAAAAGAAAGAAGGGAAAAGAAAGAAACATATTAGTTTTAAAATATTGACTATAACTTAGGGCTAGTGGTGGAAGGGCTTACCTAGCATGGATGAGGCCTGGGTTTAAACCCTAGCACAGCAAAGAAAATTGATCATGTTTCAATTTGTGTACCAGAAAGAAGAGTTGGAAATACCTAGGCTCATATCCCAGCTCTGCCAAGGTTCTTTGGTATTGATTAGTCATTCAGTTTTGGAGTCCTTTCTATGTTTCAGTCTCATTGTTAGGCACCGGGGCTTATAAAGAAACAAGATAGGGTCCCAACCTTGATGGAATTTATAATCTAGTTGGGATAAATTAATCTCTGTTAACCTCAGTTTCATTTTTCAAAACAGTGAGATAATAATACTATTTCATAAGGTTCTTGTGAGGGTTTTAATAAGGTAGAAGTGAAGCACATAGATGTCATTAAAAATGGTAAGTAATTCAGACTAATAACTCTTTTGCCCTAGGCAGGAGAAATTTAAAGAAATTATTGGGAGGGTAGTCTATATTTTCTGCTCTAAAGTCCATCTGTTAAAAATTTTTGTGATAACTATAATTGACATTTATTTAGTACTAGTTACATGCAAGATGTTTCTGTGAGTGATTTATATATTTTAACTCATCTTTCTTGATATCAATAATCCTGTGAGAGAGTTAATTACTAATCACTTTTCTAGTTCTGGACAATTAAGGCACTTTACTCATGGGATATGCTCACAGCTGTGTGGTGGAGCTGGAATTTGAACCTTGGCAGTCACCAGAACTGGTACTTAACAAGACTGAATTTAAAAAGTGCTTAATTAAACAGTATACTAGGTTCTTGATTTCAAGTATCCTGATGTAAAATCAGAAATGTAAAATTAAGTAACAACTTTTTTGCTATTTTAAATCTATAATACATACTTCAATAAATAAAGCACAAAGGAAGTAAACCACGGTGACTCTACAGGTTCAGATAGACAGTGGCTATCATCCCCTGTAGCACAAATAAACTATTCATCAGCTTAGTACTGTACCATTTTCACAGTGTTTAATAGAATGTAACTGTGAAGAAAAAAACAATCTTGGGTGAACTACTAGATTCTGCTCAGATGACAGCTCAGACATTTCATTCTGTTTTTGCAAGGGAAGATTTCAAGTAAGACAAGATGTAGTAGAAATATAACAAAGTTTATTGGAATAGGAAAAGATAGTTTATTAGAAGAGAAAGAAGGTAAGAAGCATAAGAGAAAGGGGGCGGGGAGAGAGAGGCCTGGGTAGTGGGTCATCTCTGAGAGGGGAATGACAACTCCCTTTTTGGTGTCTCAGCTTTAAGAGGTATTATTGCATAGATATTATTGCATAGATCTCATTCATGTATCTAAGTGAATGCAACAAGTATGAAAACTTACAACAAGACTAAATAATATACCAAGGACCCAAAGACAACTATTTATGTTGGTGTGTGCGGATTGGTTTTGTCTGGAAATTGTTTTTAGAGATTTTATGGTAGTTTTAGACCAGGGCAATCTGTCCTTACATATCAGAGGAGGAGTCTTGGGTAGTAACTTCTCTCCCCTTGTAAGGGTAAAAGAAATTGAAGTTAAAGCGTAAAAGTTAAAGAGTAAAAGACCGGGTGTTGTAAAGTTTCTAAGCTGCAAGGTCTGAGTTAAATTTCTGTAGCTGTTAAGACAATGCTTGGAACTGCCCAGTAATAAGGGCTCTGTGTGGTCGCACATAGGCATTGCAGGGCCTGGACCAATCAGTTTAAATGTAACCCCCTCCTTAGGAATGACCTATCACTCCAGCCTGACCTGTTCCTGCCAATGAATGAACCACTCATGTTTAGGAGTTGTTGTTCAATTTTCCCGTGCCTAATGATGATTTGTTCTGATGTATAGAAAGCCCTCCGCCCTCCCCAAAAAGTGTACTTAAGCAGTGCTCAGCCCCTGCTCGGGGCTCTGGCTGCTTTTCCTTCTTGAGTGGGCACGGAGCCCCAGCATGCTGGTTCAATAAATCCCCCTTCTGCCAATTGCATGAGTGGTCACTTGGTGGTCTCTTTCTCCGACGTTTCGCGGGACCCTTACACCCTGAGAATAACATGTTGTTTGGGCTATTATCTTATGTCAGAACAGTGCCAGGATGACTTTCTGTAAGTTGCTCCTTTGAAATACATATTGAGTTATAGTGCATAGGCTCAGGCTATGGAAATAACTCCTCATTTTCTATGTTCCCACCTCTCATGTTCACTGTTCTTTATCACTATTACAAAAGGACATTAGCTGGCAGAAATCCAATATGATTGGCAAATGCAGAAAATATTACTTTAAACATGCAGGATGATTACATCTTATAGAACTGCACTTGGAATATTGGCATTCCTTATCAATAACATAATTTCAAAAAATTGAAAGAACTGAACTGAAAACAGACTGGAAACCTTAGGGATCACCTCATCTGAGCCCACCATGAATGTTGAAAGTGAGTCTGGGCAATGACTTTCTGTTCATTTAGCTTTACTATTCTTTATCACACATGTGGGTAATATAACCTTGGAATAAATTATGGAATTACAATGTTTACCTGAAAATAAAGTTGGAAAAATTCACCAAGATACTGAAATGCATAAACTACTGTGTAGATAAGTTATTAATGTGATGTGTTTTCATGTCTTTGAAATATTAGATATCAAGAATTTTCTTAGAAAATTTAAATATTTAAGCTCCATGTTTATTAGGTCTTAATATTTTAGTGGTATTGTTTAAAGTTTATTTTTTTTCCAGTCTTTGTTATGGGTATAATCCATCACTTATTTTCTGCCTTCCAACCCTATCCTTCCTCAATAGAACAGGAGCTGACGGGACTGGTGGTGTGGGTGACTGGAGCATCCAGTGGGATTGGCGAGGAGCTGGCTTACCAGCTGTCCAAACTGGGAGTTTCTCTTGTGTTGTCAGCCAGAAGAGTGCATGAGCTGGAAAGGGTGAAAAGAAAATGCCTAGGTAAGTGAACCTAAAACAGCAGCTGTGCTTCCTAGACTTGAGGCAGACTGCAAACTCAAGTGCAGCCTGGGAATTGCAGAGGGGAGATGGGCTTCTCCTGCCAGTGCACCCTGGCTCCAATGCTCCAAGTGCCTGGCCCCTGGCCCTTTTCTCCTGTCTCATCTTAGTTGGCTTCCCTTCACCTTTCCTGCCTCATTTTGTCAGCTTTCTACTCCTTTTTGCACTGACTCTTGACATTAGGAAGTGACTGTCTATTCTGTCCAGTGCTGGTGACTTTTTAGTGACAACGTGACTTATATTTTGTCTTCCGGAAAGAACAGTTTGTTTGTTTGTTTGTTTCTTTTTTTTTTTAATAACAGTTTGTTTCTTATCCATGACATTCATGTATGTAACCACTGAAAGTGGGTAGGATGGATCCTTACTCATTCTGCTAAAATATTAGATATTATTTCCACAAGGGAGCATGTAATATTCTATTGTGTGTGCATATTATATATATATATATATATATATATATATATCGAAGTTTCTTATCCATTCATCTACTAAAGGACACCTAGGTTGGTTTTGAAGTTTTGCTATTGTGAATTGTGCTGCAATAAGCATTGATGTAGCTGTGTCCCTGTAGTATGCTGTATTTAAGTCCTTTGGATATAGACTGAGGAATGGGATAGCTGGGTCAAATGGTAGTTCCATTCCCATTTTTCCAAGCAATTTCCACACTGCTTTCCAGATTGGCTATACGAATTTGCAGTCCCACCAGCAATGTATGAATGTGCCTTTTTCCCCACATCCTCTGATAAACCCAGCCTAATTCCCTCTTAAGATTGAGAGCCATTTCATCACAAAGGCATGAAAAGTTAATTTCGGCTTTATTATAAATTACTGCGATTTCTAAACTTGCTTGGAATGGCTGCTCATGCCTTGAACTCATCCATGCCTGGCTTTCCCTGACTAGATAACAACCCTGTCTGAAACCTTAGCGGTGCCTCAAAAATTCTGGTGTTGGGATCTAAATTTACTCCCTAACTTGAAATTTTGAACCATTTAGATAATTAACCTACTATCTGCCTTTTTATTATGCTTGTCAAAATCCTGTTACCTGTAAGTTTTCAAGACACCCCCCTTTTGCAACTTTTTGTGCTATAAAACCATGCTTCTAGAGAGCTGGGGTACTGTCCTCTAACCCAAGGATTTTGGGAGAGACAGTCCCAGCCAGTTGGAATTACACCTTGCTTTAATTTGATTTAAAATTGGAGTCAGTGATCTTTGCGTCATGGTTTAACATAAGCCACCTGAGAAAGTAAAGTCTAGAATAATTAGTGAAGAACAAAAGACAATGTCAGAGTTAGTTCTAAAGGGATGGAGCACCTGATAGGTCAACTCCACACAGGAGCTAGTGCTAGACAATTAGAAAATGGCCCCTTTGGTTTATTTAAGGGGGCACATTAAAGGCAAGGATAAGGTTTGGGGGAGGAATCTTGCTTTGTGATTTCTTGAAGTCAGCAGGCTGATTGGCATCTTGGCAGGTCACACCCATGTCAGAGGAGCTGTGCTTCTACAGCACGTCACCCCATCTCTGGTGCTGCATGGGACCTTTGACAGAGCTGAAAAAGGCTCACAATGTGTCTGGGCAGTCAGCCAGAGGAAATGTCTACTGGAAATTCCCAGACACCAAATTCTCCTATTCATTAGGCTTCCATGTTCAATGTGGTCCACACTCAGCACACAGATGGTTCTCGCCACCAGGGTGTGTGCTAAACTGAGAGTAGCAAGGAGCATAGTGGATCTATGCCATGCTATCCCCACTAATTTTTAAATGTCTCTATTTAGGCAATGGCAATTTAAAAGAAAAAGATATATTCATTTTGCCCTTTGACCTGGCTAACAGAAGTTCCCATGAGGTGGCAACTAAAGCTGTTCTCCAGGAGTTTGGTAGGGTAAGTAGCAATTTATATTCACAAAGCATTAACAACATTGCTCTGTCTGGCTTTGAAATAACCAGAAAGGAAGGATATTTCCATCGATGGTGCTTTCATTGTAAGAACTTTAGGCACATGAGGTGAGATCAGGCCTATGAGTTGGGCCAGTTAATCACTGAGTTTATGAATTTAGGTAATTAATAATTTTTACATGATATCAATTACTAATTGCTCCCTGTAGACAGAAAGAAGGTGCTATTATAATTTTTTGACATTTATTATTTTCTATAAAAATTCACATAAAATGGGAGTACCATAGTTGCATTGTGATTACTTTATTCTATTATGATTTTGTTATGTTTTTACTACTAAATTCTATAAATATAAAACTGTTTCATTGGTTTTTCATGTTAATGACATAAGCAACCATGACAAGGAATTCTTTCAATCCATCCATAGGATAACCTTAAGCATCTCTTTTCTGGTTTTATTTTATTAGATTGATGTTCTGGTCAACAATGCTGGAAAAACACACTCTTCTTTGATTGTGGATACCAAGATGGATTTCTTCAAGGAGCTAATGGAGCTTAACTACTTAGGAACAGTGTCCTTGACAAAATGTGTTCTACCTCACATGATTGAGAGGAAACAAGGAAAGATAGTTATTGTGAATAGCCTTGTGAGCTCTGTACCTATACCAATAGCCAGTGGATATTGTGCCAGCAAGCATGCTCTTCAGGTAAGCCTGCTAAAACTCAACTTTGATAAAAATTGACCCAAATGAGGAATATGACTATCCATGGAACTAGGCAATAATGTGGGGAAACAGAAATAGGAGAACTTTGGTAAAAGATATCCCCAGTACATGATTAAAAAAAATAAAAATAAAAGACTTGAATCACAGGTGCTACAAACTGTCCAACAAGTATATATTGAACACTGATACTGTGCCATACACTGAAGCAGATCCTGGGAATATAAAAATGATTTTGCTCTTAAAAAGCATATATAATCTAGTCAGCATGTCATCCTTCACCTTATCCCTATTTCTACCTCATCCTCATGGTAGATTGTGAGTCCTCTGCTCCATTCTTCTACACAGATTTCAGGATGTGCTTTTTTCTCCCATTACTGTGACTTCTTTTCCTTTCCCTTTTTACTTGCTTTCATGAAAGTGAAAAAAGATACTGCCAGCTGGTTGCTTAGTCCTGGGCCTCATATCCCTACTGGGAAAAATCCAGATTCTGTCCACATGGGTTCTATTGAAAAAAGAAATCTTAGCAAAGGCAAAGGCCAGAAAAAGAGCTTCATTTGAGTTTCCTAACTAATGCGGTGTAAGTGTGGATATAAAGAACATAGAAGGCAAATCGGAGGAGAATGATTAAAGCAGACCCAGAATATAAAAGTAATACTGTTGAAGGTCAGTTTGAATCAAATGTTTCACTGTTGGAATAATAAAAGGCAATAGCTGCATGGTCACCTCACTCTCATGAGAACATGAGACTTTGGTTCATTAGGACATTTGTCTTTTCATTAGAGATCAGAAATTTTCAGTGGGTGATGATATGGAATGCAGTACTTATGATTTTCTCCTGTTCAGCAATGGGCTGTCAAATCATCTCTTAGAGAAACTTGGGCAAACCTCAGGTGGGCAGATGTGGCCAGTGCCAGTAGTCTCATAAGATGTGCAGGATGCTCCCAGTAAACCACAGATGAACTGTCTGGCCTGCCTCCAAGACTCTCTGTTAATACTAGATTTGATCTTCTGATATGATGTGGTAGGTTGAGACTCTGGTTAGTATTACCATTAGTTGAACACTACTTTCTTTGTGAAGAGCTCAATTTCTTCTAAGATTTCCAGCAGGTCATGAAGTGAACATGTTTCACTGAAAAGTTTACATGTTATAGTAGATGGTATTTCCAACAAGAGGTTTGTACCATCTTAAGAGACATGTCTCAGTGTTTGATGAGTGGCTCGCTTGATGTCTTTTCTGCTTTTACTATTGAGAGGCAGAATTTAAAGGTTTGAGAGCTCTTCATTTATTTACAAAGCATTCATTTCTCACAGGCACTGTGTCAGTCTCAGATGGCAGGAACCCTCCGAATGCTCATGAGGCCCAGGATTAATCATGCATCTCATAGTTTGTTAGGGGTTATTAGCATTTAAGAACTGGTAACTGAATAATGATTTTGGATCATATGTGAGTGTACCATGGTCAACAATAGTTAACCTGGCTTTATAACAATGTAGTCTTTGAAAACTCCTAATTTATCAACAGAGATGAAGAGAAACAGATTTCTGTTGATTCCCTGTTGGTTTAGAAATGACCAGTTTGTTTAAGTCTAGAAGGTTTAACTTGTTTCTACAAATGTCATTCAGTAGATGATCATATTACAATTTTAAGTGGCTAGGTACATGTTTGCTGAAACTAAATCATCCTGTTAAGGTAGTAATATCAATTGGAAGATTGGATTCTTTCTCCATGATGAATTTCTGTGCAGCATTGATCCCTCCGTACTCCCTATTGCCCCAAACACTGGTACTTTAGATGACTCTAGTGAATAAAGAGAAAGCTCACTCTGGTGATTTCTGGAGAACATACACTTGTTTTGGAGCAGGGAGATGAGGATTGCTATGAGGAGGGTGTATCAGAACCTACTGGGTTAGTTTCTTGCTAACTATAAAAACCGTTGATGGCAAGAGCCACTATTATCAGGGTAGCAAACTGCTAATACCTAGCAAAAATTGAGAATGTCTTTCCTGGATCAACCCTGGACTCACAGTGAAAAATGCCTAACAAGTTTGCATGATTACACTACTTGTCCTTTACTCAGGCATTTCAAAGCATATTTTGAGAAATCATGAGATATAAGATTATAATTAATATTATTTGCCTTTTTGATTATCTTGTCATTTTTTTTCTTTTTTTCTTTTTCCCTTTGTGTCTATTAGGGTTTCATACATAGCCTCCAAATTGAACTTATCAAACATCCAGGCATAATAGCTTCTAACATTTGTCCAGGACTTGTCCATTCAAATATTAGAAAGAATATGCTAACTGAAGAAGTCACAAAGGTAAAAATTTCTAGTAGTTTAATAATTTTAATGATTTACTAGTTATATGCTGGTGTTATATTATTATTCTTTAGTATTTTTATGTCAGAAACATTTTTCTTTGGTGGTACCTGGGATTAGAACCCAGGGCCTTGAGACTCTGGTTAGTATAGTTGGTAGATGCAAGACAAGCATTCTACCAACTGAGCTGTGTCCCCAGCCCATCAGAAACTTTTTTATGGCCCCAAACTTAACTGGCATGATGAAAATTGTTAGTTAGCTGGAATTGTTAAAGATAGCATTGGTATCAGTTTCAATAAGGCTAAAGAAATTGCTAAGATAATATTCATAAGTAGGTTGCCATTGTTTGTTTGCTATTATGTAATAGGATTTTTAAAAACCTATTTAGAAACACCATTTATCTTCTTTAATTTTATCTGCATGGCATCAATTTTTTCCACATTAGTTGTACATAATTTTGGGATTTGTTGTTACACGTTCATACATGCACGCAATATAATAATGTAATTTGACTAGTATTAATCCCTAGCATTTCCCCTCATGGTCTAAATTTTTATGTGATTTCATTTGCTATATATATACCACAATAAGTTTATTTTTATTACTAAGGTGATAATTATATCATCCCTCTAAGATTAAGTAATTTTAATTAAAAGAGAAGAAACTTATCTTTTAACCAGCCCATATACTCTTATCTGATAAAACATATGATTCCTATTAATATTTTTGAAATATTACAAAAATAGGACAGGATGTGGCTCAGTGAATGAGTTAGCATGCAAAAGACCACAAGTTTGATGCCCAACATCAAATAAAACTTAAATATGAAATATTGCAAAAGTTTAAAACTACTATTAGAGTCTATGGGGACTTCTAAGGGAAATGAGACCTCACTAAAGGATAAACACAAACTTGTTGTTCTCTTGTTTTTTCTAACTTAAATATTTTATGAAATAGCTTGGGAAACTATCCAGCATTCACTTAATTTTAAATTTTTTATTAGACTGTCGGCCATAATACGACTCAGGTGCACAAAATGGCTACTAGTCGTTGTGTACGGCTGATATTAGTTGCCATGGCTAACAATTTGAAAGAAGTTTGGATTGGAGAACAACCTTACTTGTTGGTGGCATATTTGTGGCAATATGTGCCAACGTTGGCCTGGTGGATAATCCACAAGTTCTGGGAGAAAAGGATTGATCTCTTTAAGAGTGGTGTGATAAGAGCAACTTAAATATTTCTTAATAAAATGTACCTAATTTATAGGAAAGTATGAAATCCTACAGTGAATAAAACTTTCTTGCTACCTTTCCACCTATTTCATGATATTAACATGAAGTGTATAAAGAAGTACTTGAATTGGAGACTATCGCATTAAGTAAGCCAATCTCCCAAACCCCAAGGCCAAATGTTCTCTTTGATAGGCGGATGCTGACTCACAATAGGGGTGGGCGTGTTCACAAGATTGGACAAGGCGGGGTGGGGCGTGGAGGGGAGGGGAAATGGGAATGGGAGATAGTAGAATGAATCAGACATAACTTTCCCTTGTTTATGTATGAATACACGACCAGTAGCTCCACATACTCCTTAAATATATAATGCTTCAAAATACATTTTACTTTCATATATAACTAAAAAGAACAAATAAAAAAATTTAAAAAGTATTCCATCCCCAAACATATCTGAATGTTTACTGTAAATTTTGGCTAGTCTTAGATAAATGACTTTTGTACCATTTGGTAAAATCAAACCAAAGTTTGCCATTTTTTCTTCTACACTTACTGTTTGATCAATATATGTGTCCAAGTGCTTTTTCCCCACTGGCTTTCCCCAGCAAGTCCTACCCATTCTACCAGTTTCTCAGGTCAGGGGTCACCTTCTTCTTTTTTAAAAAATATTTTTTTTTTTAGTTGTAGTTGGACACAATACCTTTTATTTATTTATTTTTATGAGATGCTGAGGATCGAACCCAGGGCCTTGCATGTGTTAGGTGAGTGCTCTACCATTGACCCACAACCCCAGCCCAGGGGTCACCTTCTTGAAGTGATCCCTTGCCCTTCCCTCCCACCTCTCTTCAGGACTAGGTGCACCCCAGGCCCTGTGTTCTCTTCTGTCAAAGCACTGATTGCACTTGACAGGTCCATGCACACTATGTTGGACATGCTCCTTTTACCTAGTTACTGGAGTACTCTGCACATCTAACATGTGCCTATTGTTACCGCTGTTGGCCGGTGACGAGTCCTTGCTTCCCCAATGTTGAAGAATAACACCAAAGAAGCACGCCGAGGCAAGGTCAGAGTAGAAATTAGAAGTTTATTAAAGGACATAAAGGACAGCAGAAAAGACTTCTCCCGGAGGAAGTAGGGGACCCAAGAGGTGGAGTCCGTGGAAGTGCGGTTGTCTCTCCATTTTATAGTTTCTTTCAGTGATGGAATGTAGGTGGGAAGGCCCGAGGGGTGGGACACAGGTGGGCCAAAGAAGTAGTCTGAGCAGGAAGGACTTCATTAACACTTCTTTGGGATGGACTTTGGCCTAGGGCCTTTTCAGGACTTCATTAACATTCCATGAGTTGTCCTGCGTTTCCTGGAATCATTCTCAGCATGGCCTCCATTTTAGATTTCACTCGGTATTAGACCCGATTTATCTAACTACACTGACTACCTAACTTTAAATCTGGCTTCACTATGGCCACATCGTTGGAAAAAGCTGATTACTCTCTTTAGACCTCTTTGCTATAGCAATTTGTGGAGTGATTCATTAACTGATTGATAACAATTGTGACCATCAGAAGAGTTTAATGTATCATTTGAACAGCAAATGTAAGGAGTCAATCTCAAAATTAAAGATTATAATTGTGCAAAGAAAGGTAAATGTTTTAGATGTATTTTATTGTTTGTTATTTCTTTTTGATATTTTATTACCTTGATTTAGAACTCAGTGAATACAGATTGACATAAAAAAGCAGAATTATCAAGTAGGATCATACTCTATATGTCACTATATAATCTGCCACTATTTCAAGCAATCTACTGAAACACCTAATCCACTTGTTACACATTTAATTTGTTCCAACGTTTTGCAGGCCATAAAAATGAATTACTGGGGAAAACACCAAAATTTGACAAAATGCTTAGGGATTGTTATGAAATAGTTTCATAATGCACAAAAATCCTAGAGTTTAAAAAGTCATTAAAGGAGTTTTTCACTGTCTACTGCTTTGTAACATGGTGCAGTTTGATCAGGGCCAAATAACTTAAAACTGTTTTGGCAGTGCTGGGACTCAGTAGTACAGGATGGTTCCTTGGTGGGGGCCCGCGGCGGGACAGAGCTTCCAATCACTCCTGCAAGGTAGGCGGGCCTGCGACCCACCGGCAGAAGAGGAGCAGCAGCCTGCTGAGAGGCTGAGCCGCCCCCTCCCCCTGCACCGGCAAGGTAGAGGGAACTGTGACCACGCACAGAGCAGGCCCAGCGGCCTGCTGAGGGGCAGAGCCACCCCCCACCCCCCGCGCCTGCCAGGTGACCACTGACAGAAAAGGCCCAGGGGCCCGCGGTGGGACAGAGCTTCCAATCACTCCTGCAAGGTAGGCGGGCCTGCGACCCACCGGCAGAAGAGGAGCAGCGTCCTGCTGAGAGGCTGAGCAGCCCCCTCCCCCTGCGCCGGCAAAGTAGAGGGAACTGTGACCACGCACAGAGCAGGCCCAGCGGCCTGCTGAGGGGCAGAGCTGCCCCCCACCCCCCGCGCCTGCCAGGTAGGTGGAACTGTGACCACGGACAGAAAAGGCCCAGGGGCCCGCGGCGGGACAGAGCTTCCAATCACTCCTGCAAGGTAGGCGGGCCTGCGACCCACCGGCAGAAGAGGAGCAGCGACCTGCTGAGAGGCAGAGCCGCCCCCTCCCCCTGCACCGGCAAGGTAGAGGGAACTGTGACCACGCACAGAGCAGGCCCAGCGGCCTGCTGAGGGGCAGAGCTGCCCCCCACCCCCCGCGCCTGCCAGGTAGGTGGAACTGTGACCACGGACAGAAAAGTCCCAGGGGCCCGCGGCGGGACAGAGCTTCCAATTACTCCTGCAAGGTAGGCGGGCCTGCGACCCACCGGCAGAAGAGGAGCAGCGACCTGCTGAGAGGCAGAGCCGCCCCCTCTCCCCAGCGCCTGCAAGGTAGACGGAACTGTGACCACCATCAGAACAGGCCAGACCTGCAACCGAGAGACAGAACAGGCCCAGTGGCCTGAGGAAGGGTAGAGCCGCCCCCCCCCCCCCCCCCCCCCCCCGCGCCTGCAAGGTAGGCGCACCTGCGACCCACTGGCAGTACAGCCCCAGAGGCCTGCAGAGGGGCAGTGCCGCTGCCTGCGCCTGCAAAGTAGACAGAACTGTGACCACCGACAGAACAAGCCTAGCGGCCCACAGAGGGACAGAACCGCCACCCACGCCTGCGAGGGAGACTTTGCAACTATACAAGACCAATATAAATATATAGGGGGAAAATTCAATAGCACAACAGTTTCACCAAGTAGAAAGGAACGCGAACAGTATGAAGAGACAAGGAAAGAAAGGACCACAAGCATTGCAGGTCAACTCAACGTTAGAAGAGGTAATAGCTGCAGCAGATGGAATGTCAGATAAAGAATTCAGGATATACATGCTTCAGATGATCTGGAGTCTCAAGGAAGACATCAGACAGCAAAATCAGACAATGAAAGATCACTTCAACAATGAATTACATAAACAAATCCAGGATGGTTCCTTGGTAGAGCTTGATCAAAATTATACCTAAGATTTCAATTTGGAGCACAGTAGATTCAATAACATTGAGCCCAGTTATAGATAAGAGTTGGGAGGGAAAGGCCACCTTTCCAGAGAGGAAGCATAACATCCTGTCTAGAGCACAGAGCCTAGTGCTGGACTACCTGGATTCAAATCCCAGCTCTACCCACCCTTGACCCTTGACCTCAGCAAGTCACTTCTCCATAGCTCAATCTCTCCATATGGGCAATGGAGATTAGTGATTAGTACCTAGTAACAATATTGTTATGGAGATTAAACAAGTTATTATACAGAACACTCTCAAGTATAGTCTGGATTGTTATAAATGTTAGCTGTTGTGATTTTCTATTCTTTTCAATTCTGATTTTTTACCATAAGATATTCCTCTCTAAGTATCAATGAATTTTTAAAATTATAACTGAAAAGTTAAAATTTTACTTATGGAAAATGTATAATGTGATGATTTGATATATGTATATATTGTAAAATAACTACCACAATTACACTAACACATCTATCTCCTCCCGTAGTTTTTAATCAGCATAATGAGAACAATTAAGACCTACTTTTTTTTTTTTTAAATCACATTTCACATATATTACAGGTGCAGTGGCACACACTTGTTATCCCAGCAAATTGGGAGGCTGATACAGGAGGATCATAAGTTCAAGTCCAGCTTGGGCTACTTAGAGAGATCCTTTCTTGAAATAAAAATAAAAAGGTCTGGGGATGTAGGTCAGTGGTAAAGTGTCTTTTGGTTCAATCCCCAGCACAAAACAAACAAACAAACAGACAAACAAACAAATAAAATATACAGTACAGTATTGTCAACTGTAGTTGCTATGTTGTATATCAGGTTAAAATTTTTAAGTTATACAAGTTATTCTCTTTTAAGTGAGAGTTTACATACTTTGATCACTATCTTCCTGTTACCTTCATCTTGCAGTCCCTGATGATCTCAGTTTTAATCCCCTGTCCTCACCACCCTGCCTTCAATTGTGACTTTTTTCATTCCAAATATACATGAGATTATACGGTGTTTTTTTCTATCTTGATTATTTCACTTAGCATAATGTCCTCCACTTCATCTTTGTTGTCAGAAATGAGAGGATTTACTTTATAATGGCTGAACAAAATTCCATTGTATATGTATGCATATTGTGTATACATATTGTATATGTATATAGGTACACATACATGTGTATATATGTATAAGTATATGAACATATACTCCAAAAATGAAAGTCCACAACTGGGGGGTGACTGTATCTGTTTGGTTCCCTCACTATAGGCTGAACATATAAGGCTATCCAGTCATGGACTTTCAGTGAGATAAAAACTGTGAGCTAAAAAACTCATTTTTCTTTCTATTGTAACTAGCTTCAGTTATTTTCTTATAACATGAGAAAGTGGACTAATACATACTGAGAAGTGGAATTTTTGAAATCTATTTTTATTTTTTGAGGAATCCTTACTCTGTTTTTCATAATCCCTGTGCCACCTTACATTATTAATGTTTTCAATAATAGGGCATAGGAAGAATATATTATAGAAGTGAATTTTTGTTTACAGAATAGCGACCTTCAAAATATAAATATCACTCTATAAATCCAGCATCTGATCACATCTAGTCTTTTCTAAAAGATAGTTTTTTGTTTCTTTATCCATCTTGACTATACTGCTTATCACAGGGTCTTATTCATTAATCATTTTTTTCAAAATGGAAAACTGGACATTCTCTCATTTCCCAACATCATTTCCTGGACAAAAGACCTCATTCTTTACCCCAAACCACAGAACAAAACTACACTGAATACTCTGTCCTATTCTTTGTATTTATTAGGGCAAGTAAGTGTAGGTAGGATATGCCAATCTAGAAAAGTATTATTAAGATAATTTGGTTTTAAGAAATGGCAAGAGCACATATTAGCCAATGGCATTTATGCTAGGTAGAGGAACTAATGATGCTAAGCATATTAGAGAGATTTATATGTAGATATGAAATTTTGGCTATGACTTTAAATTCAAATTAAAGCAATTGCCCAAGGCTTCTAAAGATTCTTTTTAAAATTTTTATTAATTCTTTTTAGTTAAATATAGCATTAGAATTCATTTGGATATAAGTATAGAATAATTTGCTCTAATTCTGTCCCTAGTACTCCCATTTTGCTCCCCTCATCCATCCCCCTGTTCCCTTCCCTGTATTGATCTTTCTGCTATTTACTTATAGTTTTAAATAATATCTTGTGGATATACATAATTGTGAGATTCACTGTGCTATATTCATATGTGTATATATATGAAAGTTAGGTCAGATTCATTCCATGTTCTTCCCTTATCTGGTTGCTCCTCCATCTTCCTCTACTCCACTGATCTTTCTTCTATCTTTTCTCCTTATTTTGGACTAGATTCTGTATATCAAGGAAACATTTGACCTTTGACTTTATTGGTCTGACTTATTTCACCATAGTCTCCAGTTCCATCTATTTACCAGCAAATGCCATATTTCATGCATATTTATGGCTGGATAATACTCAGTTGTGTAAAACACCAAATTTCTCTTCTCTATCCATTCAACTGTTGACAGGCACTTAGCTTGGTTCCACAGCTTGGCTATTGTAAATTGTGCTTCTATAAACATTGATGTGACTGCATCCCTGTATTATGCTGATTTTAGATCTTTTGGATACATGCAAAGAGAAGAACTTAATTGTCAGAACTGGGACAAATGCTGGGTGGTAGCTCAATGGCAGAATATTTGCCTAGTACACAAAAGGTCCCAGACTCCAACCCAGGAGTAGAAAACATACACATTCAATAGAAAACATACACACCTCCACACACAAACGCACACAAAACACATACATTCACACACACAAAACCCCGGAAGAGGGACTGAATCAACTGATTCATATTATTGTCATTTTTTTGCAGGATGTCTCGAAGACAAAATATAAATGAAAAGAGTGCTTGCAGTTTGAAGGACAGAAGAAAGCAAAGTGGAAAACATATAAACAGCATTTTATGCTAAGAACAAAAATTGAAGGCTAAATGTTGATTTTACTTTTGATGCAACTTTTCTTTCATCATACAATGAATAAAAAATAAAAGACTTCCATGAATCTTACAAAATAGTACTAACACATAATACGTTCTTGAATAAAAGAACATCTAAAAATACTTACGCATATATGCTTAAAATCTGGGTTATCAGAAATCTAACCAAAGAATTATAGTAATCCATTTAACAGATATCTTAGTCCATTTGTGCTTCTGTAATAACATACATAATTTATAAACAATAAAACTTATTTCTGATAGTTCTGGAGGCTGGGAAGTCTTGGATCAAGTTACTAGCAGAATTGTTGTCTGGAGAGGGCTGATGTCCATCCAAGATGGTGCCTAGTTGCTATGTCCTGCAGAGGGGACATAGAAGTGAGGGAAAGGCCATCGAAGCAGGTACCTTCATCAAGGCTTTTTATGTGGGCACCTATTCACAGTCATGACTCTGTCATCTAAAAGCCATGCTCTTACTACTATGGCATTGGGGATTAACTTTCAACACGAATGCTGGGTGAAACAAAAACATCCAAAGCATAGCAATAATTGTAAGGACTAATTCACACGAAGCAAAGTGCTGGGTAATGGGCAGATATAAAGAAGTATTTTGAATGATTCTACCTCCAAAATGCTTTACCTCTTTTAGTAGTGTGGACAGGTACAAATGACTGATTTGAAGAAGTAAACAGAACTCAGAGCAGCCATGATTCATTAAACACCTGTAATATGCCATTTGCTATAGTGGGGTGCTCAGTATTAGTTAACTCATTTATTCCTCATAACAGCCACTAAGATAGATGGTATTATTTACCTTTATAGACAAGTGCCGCAGTCTGGCTGGGCACAAATGCCGCAGTCTGGCTGGGCACACAATCACGAGCCACCACACAGCTTGTAGATTCAAACAGCAACTCTTTATTCCCGAACTCACACCAGCCGTCTACAATCACGTTCTGGGGAAATCCACGTTCTCTGCCCAAATCCACCTCCACTGGGCTTCTATCTCCAAAATATACTGTCTGAATCCCGTGAGAACTCAAGGGGAACTCAGGCAGCAGGATACGCCCTATTCCCAGCAGGAATAATCTTAAACCTTAAACCTGGAACCTAAACTGGGAACGCCCTAAACACGATTATCTTAAAACCGGGAACACCCTAATCTGCCTTGGTCCTTGAGCAAGGTCACTTACATTCAATGTCACTGCAACATGTCAGCAACATGGGGTACGCTGGCAAGGAAATTGTCATACCTACTTGGCTAATGGCTCCCAGCAGACAAGATGCACAAAGGAACTAGTTGTAACTTTCCAAGGTCATAAAGGTAGTAAAGGCTGAGATCAGGATTAGATTCAGCTCAAGAAGTCTCCATTGGCCACTCCTTACTACTATTAGAATCAATTTTACTTTTAATCTTTAGATCCTTGCAGCAGAAAACAAGCATAGGCCAGGAGTAATGGAAGAAATACTTAGTCCTTTTTTTTTTTTTAACCAGAAGTTCAAATTTGAGCTTGAGCCAAAGTAATATACATAGAATAACTCTAGAATAGTTGTTGGGCACAGTGGTGGTCAACTCAGTGCTATCTTTGTGAAAGGGGGAAGGTGAGATGTGGTAGAGTACACTATGAGAAACAACAGGTAGAAACAGTGGAATAAATGCAAACACATAAACTCTAGCATGAACTGTTCACATTCACACTGGAATATATGTTCATGGAACCCTCTGCTCATTTTGCATGAAAGTGTGAAACAGATACCCACAAGAAGAATTATAAAGATATGATGAAAGTTGCTTAGGATGGAAGGCTAATATGGATTCCCTATGGAAATAGAATATAATGAGCAAGAGAGAGGTCTTGCATAACCAGTGATGAAAATGAGTTTATGATTTATTGAGTACACCACACTTAGTGGTAATACAGAATTTCAGAATGCAGCAAAATGTATTTGTCATGTGGCATGATACATTGAGAGGATGATGTGGAAGCCCTTCATGGGAAAGGCATGTGTTTCTTTCAAAGCTGAGCCTTGAAAGAAGGGAAGTGAGACAGCTGAAGAGAAGCTTCAGATAGCATCGGTTTTGTTTTATGCATCATCGAATCCCAGTGTGTACCTGGCATCATGTCTGCTGCTGGTTAGGGTTATTTTGAGAGCTTGTAAGGTAAACATTCCTTGCCTTCAGTATGTCACGAATGACAACAAAGATTGAGTGGGATGCAGCTGAAAGGAAAAGTAATGTGATTGATTTGTTCAACTTTTCCAACCAAAGCAGCGTAGAAGAGGCACATATAAGTTAAAGTATATTTGAAAGTTCATTTGTGTAGTATTTTTCTATGGCGTGAAATAATAATAATAATAATAATAATAATAATAATAATAATAATAATAATGTGATGATTATACAATAATAGTATAAGCATAATAACTAGAAAAATGCCTTTGAAAAATACTAAACATACCCTCATTCTTCCTTAGGCTCTTTAATCAGTGGACCAAAATAGAATAGGCAGCTTTTTCTCAAAGTCATTTTAGAGGAAGAAAAGTTTATTCTGAAAACTCATGTTTTCAGAGGTTCTATTCATGATTGACTGACATCATTACTGTGGGCCCAAGTGAGACAGAGCATCATGGCAGAAAGTTGTGTTGGAGGAAAGCTGCTCACAGATTGGCAGCCAGGAAGCATAGAGAGGGTAGGATGAGCCAGGGACAAATTACATGATTCCCAAAGAACTGCCCTGTGACCCACTTCATCCAGCCATACCCTTCCTTCCTTACAGTTACCATCCAGTAATCCACTCAAATTATTAATATAAATGGATCAAACCACTGATTGAGTTACGGTTCTCATAATCTAATCATAACATCCCTGAATTAACTCAGGAAGTTTTCAGGGACAACTCATATCGGAATCACTATATGTGTGTATCTGGGGACTAGAGTAAAGGAGACCCTTGCAGAAGGGGAGCACAGTTGACTCTTTCTGCAATCAGGGAAAAAGAATTTAAACAGTCCAATATCAATATTTTTCAATACAAAGTCTTATTTGGCTATACCTCAAAGTCTAGCAGTTGCTTATTTCTAAGTGATGGCAGTGGTAATCATTTTAGTTTTCTTCATATTCTTCTTTATCTTTTAGATATTTCCTACAGAGAACATGTGTTATCATTTTAGTTGAAAATTTAATTGAGATGTCTAAAAATTTACATTGAGATCTACAAATAAAAGAGATCTGCAAATCTATTACTTTGTTTCCCCCAATGGTTCTATATTGCAAAACTGTCATATGAAGTCACAACCAGACTATGCTTCAATTGAAGCATAGATCATATTCAGATTTCTTCAGTTTTACTTGTATTCTTTCTCTGTGTGTGTATGTCTCATTCTTTGCAATCCCATTGTATCTGTAGGTTTGCATATCCTCCTCCCTGTCAAGGTACACAATAGTTCCTTTCCTATTAGAAGGATTCCCCTATTTCCTTTATATACTCATCTCTTTCCTCCCTTGTCCCACCCTCCCACTCTAGTTCCAAACTATGGAAACCACTGACTGGTCTCCATTTCTGAAACTTTATGTTAAATACATTAAGTAATTGAAAATATAGAATATTAAATAAAAGGGATAAAAAACGTCAAGATGTAAAAATATGTTAAATATTGGCATGTCTAATGTTAACATTGAAATGTTAAATAGGCAGACAGTAGGCAACCTTGCAGGATTGGCTCTTTTCCACACACAGCATAATTCCCTGGAGACCCATCAAGGTTGCTGCATGTATCAATAGTTTTTTTTCTTTTTAGTGCTGAGTTGTATCCCAATCAGCCACACACCCGTGTACTGAGCTGCTTCATTTGTACATGAAACTGTTATGAACATTGACATACAACTTGGTTGGACACAAGTTCACTTCTCTGGGATAAATGACTGAGAGAGTGCAATTCTGGGTCACTTGGTGTTTTCATGTTCAGTTGTAAAAGAAACTTCCAGTGACTACTGAGTTTCTCTGTGTTCCTCCCCAGCACTTGGTGGTGTCATTTTTCATTTTCACCATCCTGAGAGTGACATCTCTTGAGGTTCTAATTTAATTTCCCTGATAGCTGATGATGTTGAATATCTTTCCAGGTGCTTATTTCTTTTTTTCTATGAGAAGCCTGTCCACAGTGATGGCCTATTTTCTAATTGGGATGTGCATTTTTATTTAGTATTACATTTGATTTTTAATTTGGAGAATATACAGTTTGCAAATATTTTTTTTCCTGATTTGTAGATTGTCTGTTTATTCTCTCCATAGTTTTCACATTGACTTTCATGGAGGGAGACTTTTTTCTTCTTCCACCAATGGATATCTAGCTTGTTTCAAAAACTGTTGAAAGAACTTAAAATAAACTATTTTTGAAGGTGTTAGCATAAAATTTCTGGGTTTATTCAAAAGTGATTAATGTTGAATAGGGTTAAAACTCTAACCTACTACATTACATTATCTCTTCCACCAAATAGAAATTATTGGTATGTATATCAGATAAGAAACTATAAGTACAACTCTACCTCTACAGAGTTGTAAAATGACCTAGTCAATACAAAGTTAAGCTTAATAATATGCTGCAAGAGCACTGAGCAATCTTCTTTGTTCTTTGCCCAGAAAATTTCAAGAAATTCCAAAAAGAGAAGAAAACATGAATCCAAAAATCACAAATATTTGTGTACACATTTCATGAAAATAGTCATGTTAGGAAGCAGAAGAGTAGTATGCCTCTATGTGACTGAAATTGATGCTAATGTCTCAGATGATAGTTTTAAAACCAGATAGACAGCCTTCATCTTGAGACTTTCCTACCACTTCCATTGTGAATTGAGGAAACAGATAAGGGAAATAATATTTGTTCTTGTTGTCTAGCCTTTCATCTGAAGGATTCATTACTTTATAAATTTTGACCACAAACAACCCAAGCCCCAATTCTCTACTCTGTAAGTGGCCATTTACATGAGAAAGGAAAACTCACCTAAGTAATTTTATCAAGGTTTTAAATACTTTTATGACTAAGTCAGCAATTGGATATTTCTCAAGTGGTTCCTTTTCTGTTATTATTTCATATGCCCTTTGTACAGAATTGTACAACAATCCACTGATAGTGTCAGGAGCCAAGGTGTCAGGCAATATTCTTTGGGACACCAGGCCATACTTTTTTCTCCTCTACCAAGAAAAAGATTAAAAGGTGACTACCAGGTGACCCTTGAGTACTCAATGAATTACAACCAATGAAAAGA